GTTGTTAAGTGAATCACCGTAGCTGTAAAGTTGGTAACATGGTTGTTAAGTGAATCTGTCTTTCCTGTTGACTTTGCTTGTCAGAAGGTTGATCACATGACCCTTGGACAACTGTAAATGTCATAAATGCGAATCACTTGCCATGCACCTGAATTTTGATTACGTGACCATGGGAATGCTGTAATGGTTGTAAGTGTGGAAAGTGGACATCAGTCCCTTTTTTTCAGTGATGCTGTAACTTGTAATGGTCGTAAGTGAACTGCTTGTAAATAACCTGTATGTTATTACAATGAAAATAATGAGTGAAAATCTGTAACGTTTTGAGAGAATGGGGATAGCAATTATCCCAAAATCCATTTTAGTATGATAGATGGTTAATGGCTTAAGAAATAATTGAGACATCATAAGAGAGAAAGAGAGGGAGAGAGATAAAAGGAAGAAAAGAAAGTAGTTGGATTATTTGAAATCAAAGGAACATTGTTTTTCCATCTTCCTCCTACTCTTACTGTTCTAAAGACTCATTAAAAACAGATTTCTTTTGGCTTTTGAGAGGCACTGCAGTAGATCTTTGGAATCTTTACAATCAGGTTGAATTTTGAGAAAAATCTAAATTTTTGAAAGACGCTTCTCAATATCATAATCCTAGGCATCTTTTTAAAAAAGAACCACATTGTTTGAGTTGCATAGTAAGAGTGAGATAAGAGTTTTTGTGTATAAGACAGGAGAAGCTTAGCAACCATTAACTGTGTCTACTGCAAGGAGCCAGCATCAAGAGGCAGTTTTTTCCTTATTACCAGCTGGGTGCCATTAAGGAGGGGAGATTTTTTTATCTCTCTCAAGGCTTCTGAGATATGATGCACTGTGGGCATGTTTTCTAGGATTAAAATTAAAAATCTTCTCTTCCTTCCTAGTGTGGTTATCTCTTCCCACTTATGAGTATTACCATCTTGCTTGTATCTTTCAATTTATACTGTTTTTATTTGTTTCCTAGTATGATTTGATAGCTTGTTAGTAACCTTGACTATCACTAAGTGTTGCATCTTTTATTCTTGATGAATGTATTCTATTTTATTTTTCTTTACGTACACTGAGTGCGTATGCACCAAAGACAAATTCCTTGTGTGTCCAATCACACTTGGACAATAAAGAATTCTATTCTATTCTAAAAGGAAACCTAAAAAAGATGTGCTGTTCTCCCATGAGGTTCTAGAGGTGTGAATATGACTCTCCTAGCATCTGTAGGGTGATGCTCCTTTCTTGACAATATGCCTTTTGAGTGGGGTGAGCAGCCACAGCAACTTTACAATCTGTGGATTTCAAACTCCTGAACCCAACCATGCTCGGTCAGGAATTTGGGGAGTTGAAGTCCACAGTTGCCATAATTGTCCACCTCTGCTTTTGAGACTCACCCACTGCCTTCAACTGCCGCCCCCCCCCCCCTGCCCCAAATAATTCTGTGATCCCTCCATAGCCGGACTTCCAAAGCACATTGATTTATTCTGGGTTTAAAACAAAGCGCATTTCTTGCGCATCCATAATGCAAGGCATATGTGCTGCAGTGTACTTTTGAATTACAGCAGACAACAGTTTAAGGTGGGGTGTGTCTGTGGTGCGTGTATGGGTGTGTTTTATTTTTGAACCAGTGATAAGATTGAGCTTTTTCACCCATTTCCCCACTTTACAACTCTAAACATCTCTTTTGGTTTGTTTGTTTGTTTGTTTTAAAGAATTTACACGACTGCTCAACTTGACCAGTGTCAGTCTGGGCAGTTTACAAGAAACAATCAGGGTAAAAATGTCAGTTAGCAATAAACAATAATAAGCTGCTTTATTCCAAGTCTGTTTGTGAGTACCTTAACTTGCCGGTCTTGATAGCTGTATCTCTGATAGCCTGGAACTGAACCTGAACCTTGCTCAATCGTGCACATTCATTATGCTCAGCGCTAAATTCAGGGCTGTCTCCCATCTACTGAAAATTTCACAGGAAGCTTTCAGTTATCTCTTCCTAATTAGCATGAGCACGCTCACTCCTTTCCTCTGGCTTAATCTCCCCATCTTGTGTTTTCTAGTTACAGCTACAGAAAACCCAGTATTTGCAGTTGGGGCAGAGCCGTGGCCAGTACTATGGAGGATCCTTGCCAAACGTCAATCAGATTGGCAGCAGTGCGATGGACATGCCCTTCCAGGTGAATTTGATACCACCTCTGCTCGGAAGAATGACGGGAACATTAGAAACCAGCGTCTGTGCTCTGTACCAAAAGCTAAATGTATCCCTATAAATTACAGGCAGTCCTCGACTTGCAACCACAATGGGCACAAAATTTCTGTTGCTAAATGAGACAATTGTTAAGTGATCTTTGCCCCATTTCATCACTTTTCTTGCCACTGTTCTGACCCAGGCTTCCTTAACAAGCATGAAGCAGAGTCTTGGACTTGGCAAAACCTCTTTTATTTACACGACTGGGAATTCCTTTCATTCACAGTCAGCCAGGCTTGGCAAACCGGATCCGGAACCCACCACTGGTTATCTCCCTCCAGCAGCCTGATCCTATGGTGGGACATCCAGTAGGTTATGTTTTAAGCTCTTTCTCTGTCTTTTTTTTTAGACTCCCTTTCAGCCATCTGGGTTGGACACCAGTAGGACAACTCGACACCATGGGCTGGTAGACAGGGTATATCGTGACAGGAATCGCCTTGGCTCACCGCATCGGCGCCCTCTCTCTGTGGATAAGCATGGCAGACAGATATCCTTTGATTTGATAAAATGGCATGAGTAGGATGGGGTAAGCAGGTATAGTCTTAGACCTGTAGATGATTTTTATTAGATGGGAAAGGGTTGAACAATAGCGATGACAAAAATGCTTTTTCCTCTCCTCTTTAAAATAGAGCAGTTAAATTAAGCTGGGGAGGACGAAGTACAGACTTTTATTCTGTTATTTCAAAAATTATTCCTAGGCCTAAATAAGCCTGAATTTCAAGGCACTTTGTTTTAATCAGTCTTTTATGCTTTTAATGGACATATAAATAGAGTCAAGAGGTTTTGCTCTAGCTGATTCTGCAGTGTTGTCACCTGACTTCTTCTGTTTGGTTATATATCATTGTTTTATGTGATCCTGGCTGGTTGGGATCAGTAAGAGAACACAACGGTCCTGGAAAAATAATGGCATCACACTAGCAACGAGTTGTTATTTGATTCCAAAAGAAGAGAACGAATAGTGCAAAAAGTGTTTTGTTTTTTTAAAAAAAAAGATTTCTTGAGAGAAAAAAACATCTAAAAAACATTTTCCCTTGACTGTCTGATTTACGTGGACAGCTGTCCATATGGTACTGTCTACCTGTCTCCTCCTTCAGATACAAGCTGGAGAAGGTATGTATACAATAATTTTGAAATATAAAAGTCTAACTTTTCAATTTACACAGCGATCTCTAAACGCATATTTTTCACCCAGTAAAGAATATATTACAGTATATATCATATCATCCAAAAAATGTTTATTTACCTATCCAATTTGTGCTGCCAACCAAAGTCAACTCTTTGAGATGGGCAGACATGTAATTCAGATAAAAAAATATTTATTTGACAAAACAATTATAATCATTAGCTTAACCGATTAGGTATGTGTCCGCATGTTTAACTATATGCTCCTTATAGTAAAAATCTTAAAAAGCTAGTGGACTGAAATTCCTGGACCATATCTTATTTGATTAAATTTACCAATTTACCATTTAAATTTAAATTTAAATGAAGCACGGCATTAAATGAAGAACCCAGGTTAGGACTAGTAATGGTTCACTATCACAGTTGAGTAACTACCATAATTAAATCTGGGCTTGGAATGTGGGCAGTCCTTCCTAAAGAGCATCTGAAATGGTTCAATCTACTATTCTAAACTTAACTGCATGTTCATGACAATTGGTATCTTTCTCCTCACTACTTCGACTCAAAGGCAGGTAACAATTAGTACTAATATTGTTTTCACATAGTCAAAACAACATTAACAAAACAAATTAAAAACCACAACGGCAGAATGAAATAATTTTAAAAGCCTAGGAAATTAATCTCTGAACATTCTGTTTCCCTAATACATAATTTGGGAAAAACATTCCAAAGCATACAGAGATAGGACAGGTTGACCACAGGGGGGATCTTGGTGTTCACTGAGTTTGGTGGTTTTCTTGCAGATGTTTCATTATTTAACTACTGTATTTTTTTGAGTATAAGACGCACCCTTTTCCCTTAAAAAAGAGAGTGAAAATCTGGGTGCATCTTATACACTGAATACAACATTTTTGGCCTCTCAAAACCCTCTTCCTTTGCAAAAATGGCCGTGCATAGCCTTTAGGAGGCTTCCAGAATGCTCCTGGGGGCTGGGGAGGGCAAAAATGAGTGAAAAATGAGCTGTTTTTTGCTTGTCCCCCCCAACTCCAAGGAGCACTCTACATAGTACTCCTAAAGGCTATGCATGCCCTGTTTTTGAAAAAAAAAATGGGCCTGTTTTTGCAAAAAACAGGCCATTTTTGGGAGGTCTGCAGAGTGCAAAAACTTTTTTTTTAATTTGCCTCTTCAAAATCTTGGTGTGTCTTATACTCTGAAAAATACGGTAGGTAACATCTTCAGTGCTAGAAGGGAATGTTTATNCCCCCCCGGCCTGTGGAGAACTACAATGCTGATCCTGCCCGCGTAGAAATCCAGTTTGACACCCCTGGACTAAGGGGATGCTGCAATGGTCATAAGCATGAAAAACTATCGTAAGTCACTTATTTAGTGCTTTAGTGTTGTAATTTTGAATGGTGATTAAATGAACTATTGTAAGTCAAGGATTACCTGTAATTTTGAAAATCCATCTGGGAAATCCCTCTTAAATCTTATGGCTCCTGCTAATTTTCTCTTGTCGGCAACAGGAATGACGACAACGTCATCTTCTTCCCAGCAACACCGGCAGCCAACCGTCAGTCCCCTCTCACTGAATACAGATTCCAGGAGAAGCCAATCCCAACAAATGTCTCCTACGCTTTCACCCCTTTCACCGATTACTCAGGTACAAGAGGGAATTCTCAGAGGTGGCCTTGAAAGCTGTTGCATATAATAACATCATAGACCCAGTCCATAATAAACGCTCCAAACTGGGAGCTTTTACCAGTATAGCAACTCTGATAATAATGTTGCTTCAGTTCGTACTTTTCCCTTCAATTGTAGATTTGGTGGTTTTGGGAAGGATAAGCCAGGTATAATTCCACGTTGGACTTTTGATTGAGGTTATTTAGCCATATCCAGGTGGAATGCCAAACCATAATGGGCAATCTGTTGCCCTCCAGATTTTGGATTTCATAAACCATCATGAGAGAGTTGCCTTCCAAAATGCCAACCTCTGGTTATCTTTGCACTGACCCATTTTAAATGTACTTGGTGGTTGGGGGAGGAGGGGGGGAGAGAATCGGAAATTCTATTTGCAGGTAGTAAGAAATCAATTATTTAATTAGAAATCAATGTGCCCAATGCATTGACTCATCATCTGAACTCAGCTACAGTGATTGAGTCATGATGAGTAGCAAGCAAATCAAATAGTCAATTTGTTAGTCTTACTTAGACCTTAGCATGCTCTGTGAATCCCAGGATTTGGCCTGTAGGTCATGGTTTGCGGCTCATATTGTGTTAGCCAAGTAAACTGTAGTTAATCCATAGTTAGTAAACTATTGATAGAAGAGAATATTTGTAGCTCAAGGTTAAACTATGGGGTCCTTAGTGCTCTCCGAATTTGGTTGTTTTCTTGCAGACATTTCATTACCCAACAAGGTAACATCATCGTAGTGATGATGTTCCCAGTTGGGGAATGAAACATCGGCAAGAAAACAACCAGCCTCCGAGAGCATTTAGGACCACTTTAACAAACTATGGTTAAATAAAGCATTGCACAGTGTTGTGTGTGGGTGCAGGGCAATTCAGCATGGCCAATTCACCACGGCCAACTGCGGGACAACCTGCTGCGGGACAACTTGTCACTCCTGTGGGACAACTCGCTGCAAGACAAGAGTTCCACTAATATCGAAGAAATGGTAGAATAGAATCATTAAGAAAGGAGGGACAAAATGAAATGTGAATGACAGACAGTAAAATAATTTTTAAAATAGTTTAAATACGTTTAAATTGAATTGTTGAATTGTCCTGAGGTGAGTTGGCCACAGTGAGTTGTCCCACCGCGAGCTGGGCATTGCGAGTTGGGCATTGCAAATTGGCCACGGCAAATTGTACCATTCCATTGCAAGCACACTCTTTCCATAAATACGTACGTAAATAGAGCCTGGGAAATGCTAAAAAGCCAGATAGAATAGGAACATTCCTGCCTCCCCACAAGATTAGCATAATTAGGGCTGAGTGCTTCCTTCTGAAGTCTTCACCCCAAGAAATCTGATTCCAGGGGCCCTGACGTCCTTTTCTCTCCTTTTCTTCTTAAGGCTGTGGCGTTGGACGCGCTCTCCATGGAACAGCAGCTTCCTCCCTACCCGTTCTTCACCCAGACAAGCGCGCAGCAGCAGCAGTCACAGACCCAAGTGGCAAGTGCTTTACCACCCAACGCTTCTCTGATGCAGACCTCCGGCTTGCAGCGGGGCGTTCAGCTGCCCCCACTCTCGGTCTCTATCCCTTCCACAATCCCACAGTCTCCTCCAGGCAGCCAAACCCAGACTTCCATGGGGATAGACATCAATTCAGTAAGTTTGATGGGGAAGAGGAGTTGGGACCTCCAGCTTCCTAGACATCTCAGACAAAAACATAGGAAACAGGAAGAGGCTTGGTCAGAGCTGTCTGCTTTCTGAAAAGTGTGTGGTTTGGATATGTTGAGGCTGCCATTGAAAACTGCAGAGAAATATGTGGTTCATTGCCAGTCCTCCCTCATAGCCTCTGGAAAACGTAGTCTTCCAAATATCATAGAGACTTCCGTGAAGGGACTGGATTACAAATCTTATCAGAGATAAATATGGTTCTCAAAAGCCTTGGGTAGAGACCTGAGTTTTTGAAGAATTTTGAGATCATTTCCACCTGGAGGGAAATCAATACCTCCAGCAAGTTGAGATTGACTCTTGATGACCACGCAGATATCTCCACATTAAGTTGTTCTTGGCAACAACATAGAAATGGTTTGTCTGGGCCATTTTCCAGAATATTTTTTTCAGCCATCCATCGTATAGACCGTATAGACTCCGTTACAACGGCGGTGAGGGCAATGTGGGAAATGCTGAAGGATCAGGTTAGAGATGGATCATCCTGGAGAAAATCTATCTGTGTGGTTGCTAAGAGTTGACAACAGCTTGACTGCATGTATAATCAATGAAGATAATTATGATCTAAAACTTGGCCCCCTGCCCAAGGTGCTGCCATCTGTGAGGGAAGTCTGCTCCTTCACTCCAGTCCAACAATTATGGAGTGATTTGACATTTTTCCTATTCTACTCTCTCGGAGTAGAATAGAAAATGACACCTCACCTGCAATCTCAGCTGGGCTTCGTAGAGGTCTAATTTATAAATGGACACAAGATCACGGCTATGTTTTTTCCATTACTTTTTCATGCCATGTCATTTTCATGCTGAAAATGTTTCCATCCCCTAACTTGTGGCTGGTCATGGCAGTTCCCCTGAAAATCTCAAGCCATGAGTTCCCCAACCATAATCCTTTCCATACCTCTCCTTTTGCTCGCAGCCAGTCCCCCAGCCTGGATTCAGAGAGCCTTAGAGCCAGGTGAGATCAGTGCCCAGCCATAACAAAATTTTCTCTTGGGTTTGAATCAGCAAAGTCCAGTATTTCTCAATCTTAGCCAGTTGAAGATGCGTTGACTTCAACTCCCAGAATTCCCCAACCAGTGTTGAAGTCCAAGCATCTTCAAGTGTCTAAGTTTGAGATACATTGATCTAGCTAGCTAGAACCTTCAATCGGCCTACTAACTCCAAGCAGATTATTCTTAAAGCTGAACACACAGAGTTGCTTGATGTATTTGCTGTTTTTTTTCCAACCCCAAAGAAGTTTTCTTTTAATCTGTCAAAATAGGTAACCATCTTTTAACTGGGATGAATGGTTGCATCTCTCTTCCCCATTTTCTGCAGACTTTCCCCCTTTTCTCTGTCATTGCAAAAGGAGTTTGGACATTTCCATTTTAGGTTAATTGTAGCTTAATAGCTAATCCTTGAACCACATTGAACGGTTTGAAATGAGCCCGCAAGCCAGAAAAAACATGCCTCACCATTAACTGCACCTGTTCAGCTTAATTGTATCCTAACCTGCAGAATCATTAAGATCAAAAATCATAGCTGGCTGGGGAATTCCAGGAGCTGAAGTCCACGAGTCTTAAAGTTGTCAAGGCCGGACATCCCTAACTGAGACGGTGGCTTTCACTCGGAATAAATTGCCCCTGCAGTAAGCAAAGGCTTTTCATGATGTTTAGACACAACCACTAGCCAAGGTACCAGTGATTTCAGGGCTGTTTGTGTGACAAAATGCGGCCTCCCTATTTCTCTGCCTTCCATATATCAAGCATTAGGTATGCCTGGTGGCTTTTTTTAAAAAAAAAGAAAGACTGTGTTTCTGTGGCACTGGCTGTCCTAAATACCTTCCCAGTTTGCACTGCTGTGCCTCTTCTGCATCTCACATGTATGTGTGTGTGTGTGGGGGGGGGGGAAGCTGGCTTTCTGCACACTCTATGAATCTTTCACCATTCTCCACTAGTCTGTGCAAGTTTTCCAAGCGATAATCTTTGCAGTAAGGCTTGCTTCATGGTGTTAGAGCTGAACCTGTCATCAAGCTAAAGCAAGCCATCCTTCCGATCAATTTTAATACCCCTATGTAGAATTGAAGTGTTTTGGTCCCATCCTTTGGAGAAGGCGGCACCTTCTCCTTTATCAGGTGGCACCTTCTCCACCCAATAAATCATTTGCAAATTGAAACACAAACATGAGAATGCATGCGAGGTCCATAACCTTTTCCACAGGCTCCTCCAAAAAAGAATTTGTGCAAGTGGATGTGTTCCGCCTTATGGGCTGCACAGGTAGGAAAGAAACATAACGGTTGAAGTAGAGGGTTCCCCCCCCCCCACCTCCAAGCTGGGGTTTCAGGGTATTGTGGTTACTCAGTCCCCCCACAGCTGGAAGAAACATCTCAAAACAGGCAACCGGAATCAACCTGGGTTGTAACAGAATCCCTTTTTAGTCCGTGGAGATTCTCAGTCATAGTTGTCTCAAAGGTGCTTTTTCAAAAGGCAACTGGACTGTTTTTCGTTGAGGAAGAAGAAGATGACTTTGTGCTCCCCATCCAAGAAGCCTCATCAGTTCTGGAATAATGGTGGAGGCGATGGAAGGATTAGGTCTGACAGGATTGGGGGGGGCGGGGTGTTGGAAGGTTCATATTTATTTAGAGTCACCTGGTTGTTTGCACTCTCCCTGACAGCTCTTGGGGCTTTTTTCTGCGCCCTTGGGGGTCACCTGTAAAGATAAAGGTTCCCCTGCACATGTGTGCTAATCGTTTCCGTCTCTAGAGGGCGGTGCTCATCTCCATTTCAAAGCCGAAGAGCCAGCGCTGTCCGAAGGCGTCTCCGTGGTCATGTGGCCAGCATGACTAAACACCGAGTGTGCATGGAACGCTATTACCTTCCCACCAAAGGTGGTCCCTATTTTTCCTACTTGCATTTTTACGTGCTTTCGAACTGCTAGGTTGGCAGAAGCTGAGACAAGTAACAGGAGCTCACTCCATTACGCGGCACTAGGNAGAGATGCAGCAAAGATTGTGAAATTTCACATTAGAAAAATATTATCCAAAAGCTGAAGTTATTTTGGCTGTTTGTGTATTGGATCCCGAACAGGAAGAATCGAGATAGAAATGAACTCGCTGAAAACCCTTGAAAGTATGTTAATGCTGATATTCGTACAAAATGTAGATAATGTATCATAACGAATCATGACAAATAATAGTTGGGTTCCTCTCCTGCCCTCCAAATAAATCAAATAAATAGAGTTAGATGGACTACTACCATGTTTCCCCGAAAATACGATCTATCCTGAAAGTAAACACTAGCTTGATTTTTATTCGTGCGCCCAATGTAAGCCCTACCCCCCCAAAATAAGCCTTAATTAAGACCCCGTCCACTCCAGGGTGCACAGGTAAAATTTAAGCTAGGGTGGGCATGTGGGGTGGAGCTGCCCTACTACTTACCTTCGGACAGTTGCAGCCACACCTCGCACACCCCAACAGCTGCCTCGCCGGCCCATTTCTTCTGCAGCTGGCAAGGCTTTCCTGAAGGCTTCTACAGCCGATAACAGAGCTCCAGATCGATCCGGAGCTCTGTTATCAGCTGCAGAGGCCTTCAGAAAAGCCTTGCCGGCCACAGAAGTTCCTGAAGGCCTCTGACAGCGAAAAGGAGGCCCAGGGCAATGCATGCAAGTGAGGTGAGTCAGTGGATGACATTTCCCCCTCCTCTGAAAATAAGACCTGGTACCTTTTTTTGGTGGCAAAAAAAATAAAAGACAGGGTCTTCTTTTGGGGGGAAGCATGATAGTAACGTGACCAAGCCCAAGGCAACTTCTTAGACTTCTCTGACTTTCAGGGATATGCTGAGTGGATCAGCATTGAATAGTACATCTCTGAACTTTCAGCTATTCTCAAGGTTCATATAATGATATAGTTAATCTAGTGTCCATCGTATCTGAACTTCATACCAAGTTAGTATTAAAGTTGGATTTGGCCTGCGACTTGTTTCTTGCTGACAAGTAGCAGCCCTCCTGAACTTCTTAATTTTTATCTTTTTTTAAACGGAAGATGCCAGTAATTTTGTCACTGAGCTGTGTGTGACCTTTCCTTAAGAAGCTTTGAAAAATGCCTTCTGCTGAATGTAACTACCCGAGTGACAGCTGCCTCTACTTTCCTGATAAGAGTGATTTGAAGTCTTCATCTTCTTCCCTTCCCACTGTAGCCCTGCACAGCTGTCTACTTGGTTCACAGGAGTTTGAAGAATGGAGGGGCTGTGCACACACACACACACAAGCTGCCTCCCAGTTCTGTCCTCACTGTCCTTCTAAAAGGATTTCTCCTTAACATTTGCTTGATAGTGAGGAAAATGTTTCCTAATAAAAGCAGAGCCCTCAACGGTGTTGAAGCTGCTGCTTTTGTTCAAATGCTGGGGGAATCCCTTTTGTCCCCTCCCTTCAATATCTGGGGATCAGAAACTGGGGAGGTGATATGGGGGACTCAGCCTGCCTCCACTTTCAGCATGCACAAGAACTCTAAAGTTAGAGAGCTCATTGAGAACAAAGGAGATGGGATAGCCCTACAAAGGATCCTCTCTACTCACTTCTCCTCTTTCCCAGGGATTTTCAGAGCACACTTGGCTGATATATTCTTTCTCACACTGTAGTCTTATTACTGACGGTTCCAGGCATGGAGGAAGATGCATCAGAGACAGAGAAAAACCTTTCAAAACAAGGATGGGATACTAAGAAGGTATCTAATTTTCGCAGCGTATATGAGCTACTGATACCATTGAGCTGCCAGAGATTGTAAAGCTTTCTTCTTAGAGCGCAGCACATATCTAGAAGTGAAGGGGGTTATTTCAGACTTTAAAGTGAATGGTATGATTGGTGTATAAACCAGGGCTGAAATACCCAGTGAACACTTTTTAATTCTAGTTTTCAAGCATCAAAATTGGATTTTGTCTTGCAACCAAAAGTGGTATTCAGCCTGTTTGGATTGGTTCAGGCGAAACGGTAGCGGAAATTTTGAGTAGTTCAGAGAACCGGCAAATACCACCTCTGGTTGGCCCCGCCCTCCCACCCCCGTTGTTTCCTGCCCTATAGTCCCTTCTTTTTTAGCTCAGATGATTCGCACGGCAGAGTAGATTGCCACGCCTCAGCTGCGCTAAATAATAGCTCAGCTCACCAGCACTGACACCGAGGATGGTCTTTGAGTGCTGCAAGCACGTATTAGGCGCACTCACATGCAAAACATCAGCGCGAGCACAAAGCACGCTCTCATAGAACCGGTAGGAAAAGATTTGGAATCCCACCACTAGTTACAGCACATTGCCATAAGTTGGCTTTCTGTCATTCTTGGTTTTGCAAAGGAGAAGGGGCAAAAATAGAAGCCCCCCCCTCTTTCGCAGCCCAGCTAGCTCTCCAGAAATATTTTTTCATCCACCGCTCTCTCCATTCATGTGGAGGCATGTGTAGTTGGCAGCTGAAGTGGGGGATGGAGTTAAGGGACTAGTAAGCTTGGAATTCCTTCAGGGAATTCCTGATGGAGACCCTCCCCCACTCTTCTAAATCCTCGAAGTGCTTATCTGGTTGGTCTCAAGAGAGTGAAGTCAGTCTGGTGAGATTCTTGTAAATAGGCAAGCAGCAATAAAGAAACTTCTCTGATCGGCTGACCTGTCGTCCTGTTTTCTTGCGCCTGACTGCATGAAAGAGTTTGCAATTGGAGAAAGTGGACTAGGAGAATCTCCCAGTTCATCCATAGAGACATGTTTACCTCTACTGCACCAGTACTTAAAAAGTACAGGTGTAGTACAGGTGTCTGGGTTGATCCAGGTGGGCGGGAGCTTCAGGTAGCAACCTTTGATATAATGACATTTATTTGTTTGTTTGTTTTTACAACTGAGTATCTCATGCTGACCTACTCTTCTCTGTCTTCTTTCAGACAGGATCCTCAAGGCCTAAATCCTGTGAAGTTCCGGGAATCAAGTATGTTTAAGGGGAAGGGTAACCTTTTTGTCCTCACCTGCCAAAAGTGTGTGTGTGTGTGTGTGTGTGTGTGTGTGTGTGTGTGTGTGCCCACACCCATAATGAAATTTGTGTGTGCCTCCTCCCTCCCCATTTTGGGCCTAGCAGACCTCCCTGAAGCCTCCTGGGACAAAATCGGGGTGCAGGCGTGCCATAGGTTCGCCATCACGNTGTAGGTGTGGCTTGATGGGTGTGGCAGGGAAAGGTTACTGCAAAATCCTCATTTCCTCCTGATCAGCTGGGACTCGGGAGGCAGAGAATAGATGGGGGCGGGGCCAGTCAGAGGTGGTATTTGCCAGTTCTCCGAACTACTCAAAATTTCGCTACCATTTCTCCAGAACTGGTCAGAACCTGCTGAATCCCACCTCTGATTAACAGGTGCATAGTGGAGGGGAGTGGATATATGGGAAAGTATGGATCGGTGTGGTTTGTGTGCTTTTTGAATTTTTAAAATGTTTATAGAACAAACATGTAGCAGAACTGTGCCAGCGTATATAAGGCAAGTCTCCTTGATGAATTTTGTCTATTTTCTCCAATACTTTTATGTGAATGAATATGTGTTTTTCTTTTGTGAACCACAAAGTACAGCGCTAACTTTAATTTAGGTAGCTTTTTAAAAAAAGAATATGTTTGTTGAAGAAATTAGAACATGGTTTCTCAACAGCTTGAAGAAGTGTGGATTTCAATTCGCAGAATTCCCCAACCAGCCATGCTGGCTAGGGAATTCTGAGAGTTGAAGTCCACACATCTTCAATCAGCCAATCTTGATAAAATGTAAGTTAGAATAAGTCTCCATATTTAGATGTGGTCTACTCTTGAATATACCAGAGAACATGTTTATACCTGGAAAAATAGAGATTTATTGAAAGCTTTAATGAAAGCTACAATAAAACAGGGTATACTAGATATCAGATTGTGGGGCCATGATTGGAAGAGATTTCTTGTCTTTATTCCTGGTTTATGGGCTTCTTGATTGATCCTGTTAGAAACATCAGTTGTGATGGACTTTCGATTGAAAAAAAATTAATTGACTGAAGTTTAATATTTAAGAAATAAAATTCTGAGATTCTTAACTTAGGAAACAAAAATGCACTGGTATGGGATGGGAATATAGGTAGTCCCTGACTTACGACCACGATTGAGACCAGAATCTCCGTTGTTAAGAAAGCTGGTTGTTACGATCACAGGACCCCTGGACGTTGCATCCATTGTAAATACATGCCAGACACCAAGCAACCCAATTTTAATCGTGATTGTAAGGATGCTGCGTCAGTTTGCCCATGTGAGGACTGTTTCCAAGTCTCATTTTTCAGTGCCGTTGTAACTTTGAAAGGTCACTACTGTTCTGACCTAGACTTCAGAAAATCACGAAGCAGACGCCGACAAAACCCCTTTTTATTAAGCTAATATGAATTCCTCTCATTCACAACCAGCAAAGTCCCGGCAAACAGTCTTTCAAGGGTGAATTTACAACCACAGATCTTATCAGGCTTGGAGAGCTGCCAGGCCGATATCTTCGCAATCCTGTACAAGAAAATACTTGGCAAGGAATCTGTGAGAGTCATGAACAAATCTTCACGCTAATTAAGTGAACTAATTTTCTCCTGCAAACTCCACCCCCCTTTCATTCCTCTTTATTCCCTATGGGAGGGGCCATTCACTGTCCACCTGTGCCTTTACTCCCCTGTTCCCTTCTCCTGGCAGCTCTGCGGGTAACATTGGCAACAGGCTCCAGCTGTTCTTCTGTCCCACTGATCTCCGACTCTGAAGGCAGTTGATAACTGTTGGATGGCCCTGGCCCCATCTCTGCTTCCGATTCAGAGCCCTCCTCAGAGCCTTCCCCAGACTCCAGGACTGGCCCAGGTTCCTCACCAACCTCCTCACTCTCTGAGTCTGCCACCAGCTCCGCTGGCCAGGGGCAGGCCACAACACTTATACAGTGCAATACAATACAATAGCAGAGTTGGAAGGGACCTTGGAGGTCTTCTAGTCCAACCCCTTGCCTAGGCAGGAAATCCTATACCGTTCCAGACAAATGACTATCCAACATCATCTTAAAGACTTCCAGTATTGGGGCATTCACAACTTCTGGAGGCAACTTCTGTTCCACTGATTAATTGTTCTCACTGTCAGGAAATTTCTCCTCAGTTCAAAGTTGCTTCTCTCCTTGATTAGTTTCCACCTGCTTAATTAATGGTGCAAAGTTGAAGATTACCTGTCATGTTTATGAGAATTATTTTGGAATAATAGTGGATTGCAAACCAAATACAAGCAAGCAATAGGACATGGCTGAAAATATGGCAAATGTTCCATAGAACCATAATTTCCAAATCATTGGAAGGAGTCATTCTTTTCATTCTGTTCTGACCCAGTTCAGAGAAGGGTAATTAGAATGATTGGGTAACTAGAAATTAAATGCCACCCAGAAGAGGTTTCCTGTTCTCACTGCAGAGTACAAGACTCAGAATAATGAATTTAAGTTACAAGAAGGAAGGTTGTTCTTTATTTATTATCCCTCCTTCAAAAAAAAATTTTTTTTTAAATAAACAACTCAAGAGGACGATTTAGTATCCTTTCCACCTCCTATCCCCCCCACCCCCCAAACAACTGAATGTTACAGAAGAAATTCCTCATAATAAGAACAGTTTAAT